AGGGATCTTTTAAGAAGAGGAAGAAGAAGAAAAAGGTAAAGAAACAAATTAAGAACAACAAATACACATCTATCAACAAGTGAATCTAAAAATCTAGTGAATAAATAATCTGATGAACAGAATAAACTGGTGAATATATAATAGAATTAAGGGCATAGAAAAGGAGTGGACTGACAATTCTTGGGGGGGAAGGAGTGTGGGGGTACGGGAAGAGACTGGACAAAAATCGTACATCTATGGATGAGGACAGTGGGTGGGGAGTGAGGGCGGAGGGTGGGGCGGGAACTGGGAGGAGGAGAGTTATGAGGGGGAAAAAGAGGAACAAATGTTATTATCTGAACAATAAAGATTTAATTAAAAAAATTGTTTAAGTGGTACACTATTTGGCTATATAAATGTACTTTTCAGGGACTTCAAGAATTCATGAGTAAACAAGTATTAATTTTAAAATCATAAAATGTTAAACTCAAAAAAGAACACATATAAATTAGTTAGATTAATGCCTTCATTTTACAGAGTTTAACAAGAAGCCATTAAGACATGACGTGACACATCAAACAAAAGTCACACAATAGCAGGAACTAAACCTGCTTCTCCTAATTTCCTCAATGAACGCCACCCTCTTCTGAAGACTGCCCCATTTTTTCCCAATATACCAGGATGTAGTAATTCTCTGAGAAAAGAATTTCTAAAAGAAAATTCATACGATATGCTTGCCTTTGGTGCAGGGGGAATGACTGCATGTTGCACTAGCTACAGATTTGGGGTAAACACAGTGACTTGAAATTTTAAAAAAGGAAAGGAACTGCCTACAATATTTAAAAAAAACTACTCTAATCATCATTTTATCTCTCAATGCACAATTTAAATATTAGTCATTAAAACCACTCATATAAATGATACTGAATGACTCATTTACAAAGGAGCATGTCATTATTATCATTCCATTCTTCCCGCCTGGTGTACTGAAAACACATATACCAATAATTTTAAAGGACTCACTTAAGCAGCACTTTTATAATCATTATGAAGTTATGATTCATTCTGCTTCAAGTCTGATAATTCATGATAGAAAATCTCGTGTTACATTTATAAATTAAACAATACAATTCTGAAAAGTGTATGTTCTTTATATTTCAAAATTAGATTAACCATTAAGTAGATGGTAACATGTTTTTGCACCAAAAAGTAAAGGAAACAAAAACTTAATTTGTCACACACTGAAGCTTAAAATAATCCTCATTGTAAATTATTATAATGAATTTCCTACTAGAGTCATCATTTTATAATTACAAGGTAATTTCTCCTTTATGAAGTGATCATTTTTAAATCTGACTAAATATATAGCTCTTTTTAAGGGGGTTTCCTTCTATTTCTTACAAGGAAATAAATGGAAGCAACATGACATAAATCTTGTATTGGAATTTCTATATGCCTCATACTTTATTTCTTTGTATCCTAAATACACTAAAAAGAATTAATTCATTTTTTAAGGATGGCTCCACATCTAAGAGTCTCAAAATTAAAACAACAGATTATTTTATCTTAATTCTTGAAAGGTTACTAACCTAATTTTTAAATAGCTTTATAATTACATTGTAAGCCATAAAATATTGGCATTCCCATTATTCTACTTCATTAAAATAGTGTGACCGAATTTAACTGGGCTTAATCCTTTAGGGCTATGATAAAGCAAAGAGATGCATTCAGCCCCTTCTGAAAGCAGAAGCCTTCTTCTATGGCATCAGGCAGCTGGATGACGATCCAATTTGAAGAGAGAAATGGAACTCAATACTCTTTTCACTTAGAATATAGACAACCTTTATAACTATCACTCAAAGGGACACTATCCCAAGTAAATGATGACTCTCTTATGACAGGTTTCTTACCTCAATGAAAATGAAGAAAAACTAACTTAAAAGTCCAGGTTATCTTTCTTGAGCTAAACTCTATAGACTATTTTTTTATGTTTTACTCCCTTGACACATTCCTCAGATCACAGAAAAAATATGAGAAAAGTGGGGCACATTCCTTCTTCTATTAACCATCTCCTTCAGACTAATCCACAACATACAGAATTTTATAGTAGATTAAATTGCAACAGATCTTCAAGGAGTATTCCAATTTTTCACTGTACTTTTTATTGACAAAAACGGTGCTCAGCATAAAGGGACCTGTGTTAGAAATCAAGAAATATATTTTCAAGCAAACTGTAATCAGATGTCATGAGAGATTTCTGCTTCTGACCTAAATGGCATAACAAGGACCAGATTTCTCCACCTGCTTACAACAAACAACAGCAAAACAAACAAAAAAAAAACAACACAGACCAAATACATGAAAGAATGGTCTAATTGGATATAAGCCAACAAAAGACAGTGATAGATGGGAAGTAAGCAAGATAAACTCTACAACTGTCCCACCTTACTACTTTGAAAGACTTTTCAGGTAGAACAGGACAGAGGAACTGAAGTGCAGCTTAGCAGACATCCTGACTTGAATGGATTAAAACTGAGAGTCTGAGCCTTCAACTGGCCTTCAACACAGCAAGATGCCACAGGGCAAGTTACCAGAGAAAAGAAAGCTACCCTGAGAGAGAACTCACATGAGATATCTACAGAGGGTCCCTTAAAGAAGTCAGCTGAGTAATGATCGGTGAGCATGCATGTGAGAAAACACCTAGCAGTGGGAATGGGGTGGAATCATTTAAAAGGGTTAAAGAGAACAGTGGATGATCCCACCAGCGAGACTGGAAAAACTCATAATTCATGGGGCATTTGTTAAAGTTCTCATGAAAGCCTTACCTTAGTAGAAGAGAATAATTAGTGCTACATTGAGCACTGCTCCATATCCATCTAACAAATCATAAAAGAAATACACAAAAGTGTCAAATGTTTCCACATAACTGCATCCCAAAGTTAAAGAAGAGTTATCGTAACACAAAAACATCCAGCACCCAACAAAGTAAAATTTACCATGCCTGGCATCCAACATAAGATATCAAGCATGCAGAGAGTCAGGAAAATGCGTAATGTAATGAAAATCATCAAAACCAATGCAAAACTGACAGAGATGCTAGAATTAGCAAAGGAGAACATCAACAGAATTATGAGAGTATATTCTATATTCCAAAACATTAAGTTGATAATGAAAGATATAAAAAAGCCCCCACTGAAATTCTAGATATAAAAACTAAAATGTCTAAGATGAAAAATACACTACATGGTAACATAAAATTTGGCATTGCTGGAGAAAAGATTAGAAAGCTTGAAGGCATAGCAATATAAAACTTGAGAGAGGAAGGAAGAGGGAGAGAGAGATAGAAACATCAATGATGAGAGAGAATCATTGATTGGCTGCCTCCTGCACACCCCCTACTGGGGATCGAGCCCAAAACCCAGGCATGTGCCCTTGACCGGAATCAAACCTGGGATCCTTCAGTCAGCAGGCCAATGCTCTATCCACTGAGCCAAACCAGCTAGGGTGCTAACATAATTCTTAACAGTGAAAGACAATGTTTTTCCCTAAGATCAAGAACAAGACAGGACCCGTCTGTTGCATGTTTCAATGTCTGTGAATCTGGAGCAGGTGGAGGAGGTCAACAGGGGGGAGAAAAGAGACATCTGTAATACTTTCAACAATAAAGTTTTTTTTTAAAAGATACACATTTTTTTTTTAAAAAAATGGCAGGATATGTCTGCTCTCACCACTTCTATTCAGAATTGTACAGGCATTTCTAGCCCATACAACTAGTCAAGAAAAAGAAATATAATCGGTAAAACAAATATAATCAGTATAATTTTTCAGATCAGTGGAAAATTAATGGAAATAAAACAATGAGAAAACAAAACAAAACAATGAGAAAGGGGGAGCAATGGGAAAATGGATAAATGAAATCACACAGGGGACCAAAATTACCACTATTATATCTATGTAATTAAAGATATCAGCTTCCTATTTTAAAGCCATCTAAATAAAGAACTGATTGATAAGATACTAGTGAGGAGATAAAAGCAAATGCTAAAGAACTTACTGAGACAAGTATTTTTTTAAAAAACTGCTTTTGCTGATTTCAACAAACATTCTTTGGGTAGCATTAACATTTTTCTAAAGTGGATGGATAAACTCCAAAAATCTAGTATAAGTGTGAAAAACGTCCTTAACATTTCTTCTTGAAATTCCATAGTCTAATGTTTATTTCATTAATGTTAAGACAGAAATGAAAAGGTAACGTAGCTTGAAAAGCTTTCCCATTATGAAACACAGAAACTCAAAGCGAAAAGCAGCCTTTTCCTCTCAGAAGGAAGAGCATATGTGCAAACTTGACAAACTTGTGTGGCCATGGAAAAGCTAGAGTCAGTTCTGTGACTTTAAAAAGGAACTTTAGTCTCCCTGGATCTGAGTTTTCTGGACCTGCAAAATAAAGGAACTAGATCTCTAAATTCTATTCATCATCTTAGAGAGTCTAGGATTCTACGATTCTAAACCAAATCATAAGCTAAAGGAGATAAAAAAAAAAATGAAGCAAATATATTTTTTTACTCTACAAAAGTAAGTTTTTTTAACGAAAATGAAGGCACTGGCTAATCTGAATATTAATTTCAGTTGTCTTCTGCGCTTGCTCGCAATAAGCTTAACGGTAAGAGGATTATTACGTATGATTTTCATTTCTGTACCTTGTTTGAGCGTAAAGACACTCGACCTCCGCAACGAGCACAGAACTTGGTTTGGCAATAAGAACAGTTATGGCCACATCCATCCGCAAACTTTGTTTTGTGGCAGATGCCACAGGTGGGAGCGTCGCCCTTCTGTTCTTGCTGCTGCTGTGTTTCCTCTCCCATCTTCTTCACCTGCTCCTTGTACATTTCGAACTGCTGATGAAGTTTTCTGCAAAGAAAACGAGTGAGGAAAAATTAGTTTCCTGATGGTCTCAAAACAAACACTATCATTACAATCTGTGGACAGAATTTCATATCAAAAAAAACCCATAGAGCTCTACCTGGTTTTGCTCAGTGGATAGAGCATCGGCCTGCGGACTGAAAGGTCCCAGGTTCGATTCCGCTCAAGAGCACACGCCCAGGTTGTGGGCTTGATCCCCAGTAGGGGGCATGCAGGAGGCAGCCAATCAATGATTCTCTCTCCTCACTGATGTTTCTATCTCTCTCTCTCTCTCTCTCTCTCTCCCTCTCCCTTCCTCTCTGAAATCAATAAAAATAAAAAAATAATCTTAAAAAAATCCATAGAGTGAGAATAAAAGAACAAAAACTTAATTTTCTGATGATGGAATAACATCTTATATGGCACATATCGTAAGTGTTGCAACTAATTCTGCCTTCTGATATACATATTAATGTAGGGCCCAATTAATGCAATATATGTCTATGGAGACATTTCTTCTATTATAATTGTAAAATTTCTACCTACTATTTGCAATATATTTTCAACCATACACTCTAAAATATTTACATTATTTTGCAAAGTTTAATTTCAAAATAAAGGCAGTTTATTTGACTTACCCAGTGAAACCAAAACCTATGCAATTCAAATCATTCAGACAAGGTCTGAATTGGAGTGATCTTAAGAATCCAGACATAGGCGAATACACTGGATGAGTGCTCTCACTAATTGTTTAAATCTGTTCAACCGTCTGGACATTAGTTGGCTATAAAAACACTGTGAAATATTAGGATCCTATAAAATAAGGCGGGGCCAAGTTTTAAAAATAAAATGAAAGAATAAGAAAAAATATATCTAGGAAAGGTATTATTTACTCCAGTTAAAAATAAGTAGTGATAGCTCTCCTGGTGTGGCTCAGTGCTTGAGCATCGACCTATGAACCAGGCAGTCACAGTTCAATTTCCAGTCAGGGCATATGACGTGCGCGCAGGCTCCATCCCTAGTGTGGGGAGGGGAGGAGGCAGCTGATAGTGATTCTCTCTCATCACTGATGTTTCTATCTCTCCCTCCCCCCCCCTCCCCTCTCTCATCATTGATGTTTCTATCTCTCTCTCCCTCTCCCTTCCTATCTGAAATCAACAAAAATATACATTTTAAAAATAAAAATAACAAATAAATAGTGATATAACTTTCACTTCCATTGTTTTTATAAGGAAAATTGAAAATGTTTTAAAACTATAATTAGTTCCGCTTAGGTTTTACAAAATTATAAATAATGTTACTCCCATTCTGAAAATTGACCAAAGGCTAAACTACAAAATCACAACTTTTCTTGAGCCCATCAGAGAGTTGAGAAGGCAAACATAAAAGTTTAATTCCAAAGAGTGACAAGCCCCTCCAAAGAGTAACAAGGGCACACTGTTTCACCTTTGGCACTGGAGTAAGAGGTAGCCACCATGTAGGCAGGCAAGAGGAAATCAGTTAAAACTTGAACAAATTATTAACGGCCAAGTGTGGGCGAACATGACAATTTGGAATGGTTAGGGGTGAGTTCACACTCACAAGCACTTTGTCACAGGCTTCCGCTGGTTACTGATGAGTAATATTGGGAGCAGAACATATTAACAAAGAATCCTTTAGGGGTGCACATATGTGAGTGTAGAAGAGATGACTAGTGGTTTCTTGGTGCTCCTGCATCCATCCTAATTAAGCACAACGCAACAGTAATCCACTATTAACAGAATTTGAAGACTGGTGCACTAAAGGTAATGATTAAAACAACAACATCCAAACCTATGTGAACTCCTGACTTGCTTGGTGATTTAATCCCCAACATTAATGGTCTGACATAAAAGGCATGCCCACTTTAAAGCATAAACACAATTCAAACCCATGAGACTCTGGGGGAAATAACAAGGATTAAAAAACCCATTGTCAAGTGATAAAATAACCAATATAATTAGATTCAGAGATGACAAGGATGATGAAATTATCAGAGACAGACATTTATATAATTAAAATTGTTAAGGTAGGCCCTGGCTGGGTAGCTCAGTTGATTAGAGCATCCTCTTGATATGCCAAGGTTGCAGGTTCAATCTCTGGTCGGGGTACATACAAGCATCAACCAATGAATGCATAAATAAGTAGAACAACAAATCCATCTCTCTCTCTCTCTCTCTCTCTCTCTCTCTCATCAAATTTTTAAATTGTTAAGGTGAAAGACATAAAGAAAAACATAATGCATAAACAGATGGAGTATTAAAGCAGAAACTGTAAGAGTCAAATGGAAATGCTGAAATTTAAAACATGTCACTAAATAAGAATACTGAGTTACACCGTAAATGCTATGGATATTGTTGGGATTACCATGAGAAGAGAAAGAAGGAAGGTCGAGAGACTCATGAATGTTCAAAGGCAAAAAAGATGACTGGTCTGAAGGCTAAGCTCTACTATAAACAGCGCCATGCTGAGAAAATACAAACGAAAAAGACTACCAAGATGCATAAAAAGAGAAACACCAAACCAACGCATGATGAAAAGGCTCCACAAGGAGCAGTACCTGCCTATCTACTGGACAGAGAGGGACAGTCCCAAGCTAAAGTACTTTCCAATATGATTAAACAAAAACAAAGAGAGGAAGCTGGAAAAGGGGAAGTCCCTCTGCCCAAAGTTCATGCTCAGGGAGAAACAGAGGTATTAAAAGTTATTTGAACAAGAAAGAGAAAGAAAAAGGCGTGGAGGAGGATGGTTACTAAAGTGCTTTGTTGGAGATGGCTTTACTCAAAAACCACCTAAATATGGAAGATTCATTAGGCCAATGGGCTTACGTTTCAAGAAGGCCTATGTAACGCACCCTGAACTGAAAGCCACCTTTTGCCTGCCAATACTTGGTGTAAACAAGAATCCATCATCCCCACTTTATACAACTTTGGGTGTTGTTACCTAGGTTGCAGGCTCAATATGGGTCGGGGTGCCTATGGGAGACAATCAATTGATGTGTCTTTCTCGCATCAATGTTTCTCTCTCTCCCCTTCCCTTCAACTCTCTAAAGATCAATGACATGGCTATTTGAATTTATTGGTTTATGTGAAAAAGAAAGTATGCTTTGTGATTAAGTAGATAATAAGGGCTCATTCACAGAGCTCTACTTTTAATTTACCTACTGACTTAAGGTTAGCACTGTGAAACTAATTTCTTTAGAGTCAGTTTTTCTCTTAGGTATAATTTATGCATGGTAAGATTCACCCCTTTCAGATAATACAACCATTTGTAAAATGTAAATGAATGAACATGGTTGTGTCGCAATGAAACATTATTTATAAATACAAATTTGAATGTCATCTCACTTTATAGTCACAGAATATTATCAATAAATTTTTTTCAACCACTTCAGTGAATTTTGCAAAACATATGCAGTTATATATATCTACCTTGGGTGAGAATTAACAAAACAAAACAAAAAAAGAAAAAAAGATATTGATTCTCTACAAATCAATCTGTTGATTCAATGACATCACAAAATCTCAGCATAATTTTTCGAAGAAATTGACAAGCTAATTCGAAAATTTATATGGAAAAGTATAATTCCTAGAATAGGCAAAATATTTTGAAAAAGAAGGCTAAAACAATAACTGATTTCAAGACTTACTGCAAAAGCTACACAAGTAATCAAATCAATATGGCATTGGCAAAGGAGAAACACATATCCCAATGAAAAATAATAGAGTCCAAAAATAATCCAATATTTAAATGGTCATTGATTTTTTTTAAAAGTTCCAAGGTAATTATTTAGAGAGAAAAAAGAAAGTCTTTTTAGCAATGGGAAATTCATGTGTAAAAAAGTAATTAGAAATTCCTGTGTGAAAAAGTGAACTTCAATTCCTACCTCACATCTTATATTAAAACTAACTCAATATATTACAGAACTATAATCAATGGACTACAGAAATTAATGTAATGACTGAAACTATAAAATTTCTAGAAGACAATATTGAGGAAAATTGTGCCCTTGGATAAATAAATACTTCTTTAATGGGATGTAAAAAGTATGATCCAGAAAGCAACCATTTGTAAAATGTAAATGAATGAACATGGTTGTGTCGCAATGAAACATTATTTATAAATACAAATTTGAACTTCATCTCACTTTATAGTCACAGAATATTATCAATAAATTTTTTTCAACCACTTTAAAATGTAAAAACCATTTTTAACTCACCAGTTATTAAAAAAAAAACACAAAAACAAAAAAAACACAGGCCAGATTTGGCCCATGGGCAATAATTTTATTTTTTATTGATTTCAGAGAAGGAAGGCAGAGGGAGAGAAAGAGAGAGAGAAACATCGATGAGAGAGAATCATTGATCTGCTGCCTCCTGCATGCCCCTTGCCCTGACTGGGAAACGAACCATGACCTCCTGGTTCATAGGTCGACACTCAACCATTGAGCCATGCTACCTGGCACAAATATCCTGGTTTGACAATCGGCTGTTAATTTTGAACATTGTGTCCTTTGTTAAACAAAAATTAACAAAATTAAATCTTTAATTTTTACGTAGTCAAATACATCAATTTCTCCCTTCATGGTTTGTGATTTCAGTAGCTGGCTCTAAAAAGAATCCTTACATACCTTTAAGTTGGTCAAAAAACAATTCTACATTTTCTCCTACTTGCTTTAAAATCTTGCCTCTCACATTTAGGCTTTTAATTGATCTGATGTTTATTTTTGTATGTGATATGATGTAAGAATTTCAATCTCCATTTTCCCAGGATCATTAAGTACTCTATCCTTTCTTCTTCTGATTTATGATGGTAATCTGTCACATACTAAATTTCCACAT